CACACTGACACCCCCCTGACTGCACTGGCGCTCCAGTGGGAATTCAGAATGGCTGATGTCAGGTTTTGGGAAGGGCTCAAAGCCAGCTGCTCAGAGTTGCCTGGAAACACTCCCCAGGGAGCAAAATCCAGCCATCACCCCCTGCCTCTCTCCTCTCGCTCTCTCCCATGTTGCCATCCTTCTCTCTGATCAGCGCCCCCAGAAAACCACACAGCCAGCCAGTGTGGCTGAGAATCGTGTCACCCTGCGTCTTCACTGGCTGCTCCCTGCCTTCCTGTTGCCAGAAGTATGGAAAATAAATGTTAGCAAATACCCTGAGGATCAAATAGGGATATTTTTACCTGAGCTTAAGTATTGACTCGACTTTCAATGTGGACTGTGAAACCTGGAGTGGATCAGACTGCTGTGCACTGGGAGTCTGACTGACAGCACTGTAAACCCTGGAGTGGATCAGACTGCTGTGCACTGGGAGTCTGACTGACAGCACTGTAAAACCTGGAGTGGATCAGAGTACAGTGCTGTGTGCTGGTAAGTCTGGGCTGCAGAGCTGAGTTACTGGCCTGGGAGTTATACCTGTGAAGGACTGGGGGGGGTGTGTTAATCTCCAGGTGGGCGGGAGGGAGCAGAGAGAAACTGGCTGTTTACAACAGTTCACTGCAGAACATTAGTGCCATATGTCCGAAGCTCTTTCCCTGGTCTTCCCAGATGCACAGCACCCCGATACAGAGGATCGCCACTCATTCACACCTCATGCCTCAGCACGGCATAGCACAGGGGAGCACAGGCTGAAGGACAGGGGTCTAACTGGAATGAACATCAAGCTCTGGCAGTCCTGTACTGGGGCACCACATACCAGCATGTACAGATCATCTCTTGATCCAGCACGTCCTGTAGACCTGGGGCTTGTTCTTACCCCTGATCCAGCACTTCCTGTAGACCTGGGGCTTGTTCTCACTCCTGATCTGACACTTCCTGTAGAGCTGGGGCTTGTTCTTACTCCTGATCCAGCACTT